GAAGGATTGCTTGAGCCGAGGAGTTTGAGACCAGCCTGGGCAGCATAGTAAGAACCCATCTCTATTTTTATTTTTTTGACACAGGGTCTTGCTCTGTAGCCCAGGCTGGAGTGCAGTAGTGCAGTTCAGGCTCACTTCAACCTCCACCTCCCAGGTTCAAGCAATTCTCATGCCTCAGCCTCCTGAGTACCTGGTCTGACAGGAGTGTTTCACCACACCCAACTACTTTTTGTATTACTAGTAGAGTCAGCTTTTTGCCATGTTGGCCAGGCTGGTATGGAACTCCTGGCCTCAAGCAATCTGCCGGCCTTGGTCTCCCAAAGTGCTGGGATTACAGGCATGAGCTGTGCCCAGCCCCATCTCTATAGTTTAACAACTAAGAAAAAGGAAGGCTGTTTAGTATATTCCTTTGTACGTAACTCCTTAGCAAAATCTGTCTGCCTCATTTTTCAGAGTAAATATAACTATTTCACCTTCTGCTTTTTTCTTTAACGTCTTACTTTGCTCCTTGCCTAGTTGCATCAGCTAGGGCCTCCAAAATAATAGCAGTAACAGAGGGCATTCTTTACTTCCAAAGGTTGATGGAAGCTTCTATTGCTTCCATCTCTTACAAGTGATGCTGGGCTTTGCCTTGATGGGTATGTGCCTGGATGTAATTTTCTTTATTGTGTGTAATTTAAGGAAGTATCCCTCTTTCTAATTTGATGTTTCTTTTATAAATTTTGTAGTCAAATGTCTTTTGAACAACTATGTTGATTACAATGTTCAACATACTAATATAAATGAAATGAAAAGATGTTCTAATTTTGAGCCGTCCTTTTCACACTGTACAAGTCTCACTTGGTTTATGTAAGGTTTTTTTAAGCCCCAGTGGGGTTCATTTGCTAATATTTTATTTTGGATTCTCATACATTGATTTTTATGTAAATGTCTTATTTTGTTTTGTTTTAGAGATAGGGCCTTGCTCTGATGCCCAGGCTGGTGCAGTGATGTGACCCCACTTTACTGTAATTTTAAACTCCTGGGCTCAAGTGATCTTCCCACCTCAGCCTCCTGGGTAGCTGACACTACAGGCATGTGCCGCCATGCCCGGCTAATTTTTAAATTTTTTGTAGAGACAGAGCCTTGCTATATTGTCTAGGCTGCAGTTCAGTGTACATTGTCGATGTAAATATTTATTGGTCTTTCTGCTTGAATAATTCCCTCTCCCATCTGTTTGTCTTTAAATTCTGGGCATGCACACACACTCCACCTGCACCTCCTAACTGCAAAATATTGATGTTGTCCAACCTGCCTTGAGAAGGGAGAACTGTTTTTCCCTCTTTGTATCTCAGCTGGTGTCCAGTCCACTGCTGTGTTTTTGGTAAATACTTGACCCACAGTGTGGGAGGCAGGAAGGGAAGGCTTCTGCATTTCCTTTGTGGACCCGACATCACAGATCCACTAAGCATATTGGGAAACCAGCAGGTCAGGTGGCCGCACACTCTAGTTGCCTCTGACTCTGAATTGCTCAGGGCCCCCTGCGTGCCAGTGATTTGCTTTTCTTTGTGAGTTATCTCTTCACTCATATTCCTAGGCTGAGTTCCCCAAAACAGTGGCCAGCACAGCACCTGTAACAGTTGTGGGGTGCGTATCTGATCTTGCATGACCTGATTTAAAGGGTGTTTTGAACAGGAGCTACCTATTATGGCTTAGGAACTGGCTAAAGTTTACTTGACTTTCTTTCATAAAGTAACTGGTAGAATATGTGGCATAAGGCTATTATTGCAAAAGCAGAAGTGGTGGGGGTTGATTGATCTTGGGCAGCATTGGGAGGCAGACAGGCCCGCTTCAGCACAGTCCTGGCCATTTGTAGGTTATATGACCTTGGGGGAATCCCCTCAACTCTCTGAGCCTTTGTTTCTTCCCTCATTGAGGAGATCATCCATTCCTCATTGGACTACCGTAAGGCTTAAGATCAAACATCTTTCAAGGTACTGGGAGCAAAGATCAAACACCTTTCAAGGTACCTTGACTCTGGGCTCTTTGGGCTGTAACCATAGCAAACACTCAGATTCCAGCCACCCTCCCTTCTCTTTCCTTCAGCATGGGAATGTGGAAGACCAACCTGCTCACTCCCATTTACCCTGGAGTTCTTTCTTCTGAACTTCATCTAGCACCTGCTGTGCACCAGGGATTCATGGGTGTGGAGGCCAGGGACAGCCAAGTCTGGCATCTGGCCTTCAGCTTGCCTCAGTCCCTGTGGCTGACACCTGGCCCTTTGCTCTGGAATCTGGACCCTGCAATCTCCTACCAAATGCTCAGCCCAAAGAGGGCTCCCCCTATCGGTAAGAAGATTGCATAAATGGCCACGTCTCCCCATCTCCTGAGTTGATGATCAGCCCCAGCAATCCAGATTCACAAACTTGGATTCTGGTAGGTTTATTCTTCAGTTGAAAACTCAAAGGAAAATGTTATGTTCCAAAAGAAAGTAAAAAAAACTTTGAATGCTCTAGCCTAGGAGCCTGAGTTCACAGGTGCCCCTACCAAAACAGAGGCCCTTGAAAGCCTTCAGTCCTCCACAAGTCCTGGCTGATTTTTGTATTTTTAGTAGAGACGGGTTTCAGCATGTTGGCCAGGCTGGTCTGAAACTCCTGACCTCAGGTGATCCACCCACCTCGGCCTCCCAAAGTGCTGCGATTACAGTCGTGTGCCACCGCCCCCATCCCATAACCCCAGTTTCTTTTTGCCAACTTTGATTACAGAACTTGGCATAACTCCCAGATTCCCATAATGCAAACTGTCTTCCCCAATTATAACTGCCAGTTTGTTGTCATCTAAGAAAAACAAAAGAAGACAAACAAAAATTGAAATGCTGATCATTTCTGTGGATAAAAAGATAAGTATGTCCAGGTGCCCTGGCTGATGCCTGCAATTCGAGCACTTTGAGAGGCTGAGGCGGGCAGATCACTTGAAGCCAGGAGTTCACGACCAGCCTGATCAACATGGTGAATCTCTCTCTATACTAAAAACACAAAAATGAGCGAGGCGGGGTGGCATGTGCCTGTAGTCCCATCTACTCAGGAGGCTAAGGCAGGAGAATCACTTAACCCAGGAGGCAGAGGTTGCAGTGAGCAGAGATCATGCCACTGCACTCCAGCCTGGGCAACAAGATAGGAACTCCATCTCAAAAAACAAAAAAAAGTAATGTGACTGCTATTTTCTGGTTATAATCACAGAGTTGATGTGGAAAAGCTAAGCAATATGAAAATATAGAGTTAAGGTTTTTAAAAATTACCCCACAGTGGATCAGCAAACACTTTTTTTTTTTTCTCTTAAGACAGACTAGGTCTTGCTGTTGCCCAGCTGGTGAGCAGTGGCACAATCACAGATGACTGCAGCCTCGACCTCCTGGGCTCGCTCTGTGCGCCTGTCTCCCAAGGAGCTGGGACTACAGGTACACACCCCTACACCCAGCTAATTTATTTTTTATTGTTTTTGTAGAGGTGAAGTCTCACTGTGTTGCTCAGGCTGCTCTTGAACTCCTGACCTCAAGTGATTCTCCCACCTCAGCCTTCCAAAATGCTGGGATTACAGGCATGAGCTTATCTGGAGACCGGGTGGTTACAGAGGTCATCAAGTTAAAGTGGGCCATGAAGATGGAGCCCTGATCCCATATAACGGGTATTGTAACTAAAAGAGAAATTTGTTGCCAGTAAAAGAAAAAGAAAGAATAAAATATTTTTTTCTTGAGACAGTCTTATTCTGTCACCCAGGCTGGAGTGTAGTGGTGTGATCATAGTTCAATGCAGCCTCAAAATCCTGGGTTCAAGTGATTCTCCCACCTCAGCTTCCTGAGGGGGGTAGCTGGGACTACAGGTGTGTTCCACCATGCCCAGCTAATTTTCCGTATTTTATGTAGAGACGATATCTCACTATGTTTCCCAGGCTGGTCTTCAACTTCTGGGCTCAAGCAATCCTGCCTCAGCCTCCCAAAGTGCTGGGATGATAGGTGTGAGCCACTGTGCCTGCCCAAAGGTAAATTTGCACACAGAGACAGACATGCATAGAAGGACAATGGCCACTATAAGTCAAGGGATGCCTGAGTCAGGAGAGAGGCTGGGACAGATTTTTCCCCAGAGCCTCCAGAGAGAGCCCGGCTTGCAGACACCTGACTTCACAATTCTGGCTTCCAACTGGGAGACAACAACTTCTTATTTTATTTATTGATTTATTGAGACAGGGTCTCGCTCTGTCACCCAGGCTGGAGTACAGGGGCATGATCTCAGCTCACTGCAGCCTCATTCTCCCTGGCTCAAGCAATCCTCCCACCTTAGCCTCCTGAGTAGCTTGGGAACACATAAAATGGTGCGATCTCAGCTTACTGCAACCTCCACCTTCTGGGTTCAAGCAGTTCTCCTGCCTCAGCCTCCTGAGTAGCTGGGATTACAGACGTATGCCACCAGATGCAGCTAATTTTTGTATTTTTAGTAGAGACAGGGTTTCACCATGTTGGCCACGCTAGTCTCCAACTCCTGACCTCATGATTTGCCTACCTCAGCCTCCCAAAGTGCTAGGATTACAGGTGTGAGCCACCAGTCCCGGCCTTGTATTTTTTCAGTAGAGACAGGGCTTCATCCTATTGGCCTGGCTGGTCTCAAACTCCTGACCTCAAGAGATTCTCTCATGCTCCCAAAGTACAGGGATTACAGACATGAGCCACAGCATCTGGCCTGAGACAACAAATTGGTCTTGTTCTAAGCCACTTAGTTTGTGGCACTTTGTTACAGCATCCCCAGCAAAGTTTTACCCAAGGAATAATCCATTTTATTGTTGAAGGACACAGAAGCTCATGCCCTCGGTCATTCATGAATGTGTAATTAGGTTTTGGCCAGGAACAGAGGCTCATGCCTGTAATCCCAGCACTTTGGAAGGCTGAAACGGGAGGATCACTTGAAGACCAGAGTTTGAGACCAGCCTGGCCAACATGGTGAGACCCCATCTCCACACACACACAAATATTAGTTGGGCATGGTAGCATGCACCTGTAATCCCAGCTACTCAGGAGGCTGAGGTGTGAGGACTGCTTGAGCCTGGGAGTAAGAGGCTGCAGTGAGCTATGATTGTACCACTGCACTGTAGCCTAGACAACGCAGGAAGTCCCTATCTATCTCTAAAAAAAAAAAAGGGCAGGGGTTTGATTTTGTGTTTTTGTGGTTGTTACTGTGGTTTTTAGAGATGGAGTCTCATGCTCTGCCCAGGCTGGAGTGCAGTGGTTCAATCTCGGCTCACTGCAACTTCCTGAAGTGATTCTCCCACATCAGCCTCCTGAGTAGCTGGGATTACAAGTGTGCACAACCTGTAATATAATAATAAAAACGACCTGGCTCATTTTTATATTTTTAGCAGGGACGGGGTTTCACCATGTTGGCCAGGCTGGTCTCAAACTCCTGACCTCAGGAGATCCACCTGCCTTGGCCTCCCAAAGTGCCGGGATTACAGATGTGGGTCACTGCACCCAGTTGATTTCATGGTTTGGCTGGGTTGGGTCTGGCAGATGTGTGGTTAATAAACCAGGTCTAAATATTTCTAGGCTACCGGTGGCTCGGACCCACGCTGACAGCAATGCTGTGGATGGTGATATTGGCTTCGAACATGGATGAAAACAAGATCTGGTCTCCTTTTTTCACCCAGACGGTGTCGACGCACTAACCTAGGAGAGAAAAGAACAGGTAAATGAGGCCATGTGTACATCCTGGGAAAGGGGATGCCAACTGCTGGGACCGCAGGCCCCATGGCACTACCCAGCCCAGCTGGCCAGTGGCTCTTCCATGTTCGTTACAGCTTTTGAGAGGTTTGCTATTCAAAGGAGGATGAATCAAGGAAAGTACAGGGCTGGGGCACAATTCTGTTAAACATGACAAGGAATATGCTTTGGTTCAAGAAAACCCATGGCCAGGCACAGTGGTTCATGCCTGTAATCCCAGCACTTCAGGAGGCTGAGGTGGGAGGATCACCGGAGGTCAGGAGATTGAGGCCATCATGGCCAACATAGTGAAACCCCATCTCTACTAAAAATACAAAAATCAGCCAGGTGTGGTGGCACATGCCTGTAGTCCCAGCTACTCGAGAGGCTGAGGCCAGAGAATCCCAGGAGGTGGAGGTTACAGTGAGCTGAGACCACACCATTGTATTCCAGCCTGGATGACAGAGTGAGACTCTGTCTAAAAAATAAAAATAATAAAATGAGAAAACCTGATCTTTCTGCCAGGCGTGGGGGTGCATGCCTGTAATCCCAGCACTTTGGGAGGTTCAGGTGGACAGATCACTTGAGGTCAGGAGATCACGATGAGCCTGGCTAACATGGTGAAACCTTGTCTCTGCTAAAAGTACAAAAATGCACCAGGCATGGTTGCATGTGCCTATAATCTCAGCTACTAAGGAGGCTGATGCAGGAGAATCGCTTGAACCCGGGAGGCATAAATTGTAGTTAGATGAGATTACACCACTGCACTCCAGTCTGAGAGACAGAGCAAGACTCCCCCCACCCCACCCCCGAAAAAAAAAAGAAATCAGAGAAACCAAGATTTCCACAGATAACGCTTGTCACTTTCCCTGGCAACTTTTTCTGCCTCTTGGTAGACAGCTCCTGACATCACCATGAGATCCTGGTGAAGGAGGGGTGGATACTGAGGTTGCTACAGTTTAATGAACCATTTTTCCCCCAGAGAGAGATGCTCATCTTCTGTCAGATTCCTTTGAGTGTTTTTCCAACCCCTGCTGTGTGTGGTTTAACCTCAGGGCACTTCTCCATGAAGCCACCAGGTGACGCCATTGCTGCATAAATGAAACAAACTGACCCAAGATTAGAAAATAGTGTTCTATTTTCTTGATCTGGGTTGGGTTGGTCAAACCTGTAATCCCAGCACTTAGGGAGGCTGAGGTGGGTAGATCACTTGAGGTCAGGAGTTTGAGACCAGCCTGGCAACATGGTAAAACCCTGTCTGTACTAAAAATACAAAAATTAGTCAGGCATAGTGATGCACACCTGTCATCCTAGCTACTTGGGAGGCTGAGACAGGAGAATTGGTTGAGAAGCAGAGGTTGCTGTGAGCCAAGGTCACAACTCTGCACTCCAGCCTGAGTAACAGAGCGAGACTCCATCTAAAAAAATAATATTATATATTCCTAAGGACTGAGAGGGGAAACTGAGGCATGCAGACTGGAGTTGGGGTGGCACTTTGTGAGAGAATGGGTTCAAGTAACCTGTGAAGGACTCTCAGAAAGTCACAGCAACCTAAAAATCATTTATTCTACCTCCCACTTCCACATTTTCCAGATATGGAAACCAAAGCTGAGAGGGGAGATAACTATCGCAAAAGCACCACGTTGGTGGGGAGCAGGGTTGCCAGAGAAAACACAGGACATCCAGTGAAGTGTGAGTTTCGGACTCAGTGTATGTCCCAAATAATGCAGGAGACTTAAGCTAAATCCTTATTCACTCTTTGTCTTCGAAGGTAACGGGGCATCTGTATGATGATTTGCTGAGTCTGACAACCCTCATGAGGGTAAAATGAAGATTAGGAAAATACTTAAATGTAATAAGAAAAATGCAAAATGAGGACAGCTCTGTTCCCATTTTGCAGACCAGGGAATTTCACGTTAGGGAGGTGACTTGCCCCAAGGCCACACTCACAGGTATCAGGGTCAGGATTTGTAACCAGTCCTGATTCCAGAGGTTTCACCTTCACTGTTGTGGCCAGGAACACCTCGCAGTCCTACTCCTGTGTGTGCATGTTCTGTCTGGAATGTAACCCTCTCCCCATCGTGTAAGTGGGCCATTCCCCTCCCTGACATTGAAGGACCCCGACCCCGTCTTCAGCAGGCGCCTCCTGACCCAGCAGACCCCCATGAGCCCAGATCCATGGGACCTGGTGACTGCCCTTTTCACATTCCCTGACTCCCCATCTTTGGACCCAAGTCTGACCCTCTTGAGGATCTGCAGCTGTGTTAGAGGAAAGGGGACCCGATCCAGACCCCAAGGGAGGGTTCTTGGATCTCATGCAAGAAACAATTCAGGATGAGTCTGTAAAGTGAAAGCACATTTTTTTGTTTGTTTGTATTTTTGTTTTAGTTTTTTTTTTGACATCGTGTCTCACTCTGTTGCCCAGGCTAGATAGAGGGTAGAGGTGTAATCTTGGCTCACTACAACCTACGCCTCCCGGGTTCAAGTGATTTTCCTGCTTCAGCCTCCTGAGTAGCTGGGATCACAGGTGCATGTCACCACACCTGGCTAATTTTTATATTTCTAGTAGAGGCGGGGTTTCACCATGTTGGCCAGGCTGATCTTGAACTCTTGACCTCAGGTGATCCGCCTCCCTCAGCCTCCCAAAGTGCTGGGATTACAGGTGTGAGCCACAGAGCACGTTTATTCTTTCCTTAAAAAGCAAATTTTTTAGGAAAGTAAAGATAGAATGGCTACCCCATAGAGCAGCCCAGAGGGTGCCGGTGCCCATCTTTAGGGTTCTTCGTGACATGCTGAACGAGGGGTTGGTTATTCATGACTCCCCATTTTTGATCATATAGGGAAACTTTCTGATGTTGCCATGACATGTGTAAACTGTCATGGCAATGGTGGCAATGTAGCAGTGAGGACCACCAGAAGTCACTCTGGTCGCCATCTTGGTTTTGGTGGGTTTTGGACTGGCTTCTTTACTGCAGCCTGTTTTACTGGCAATCTCTCTGTGACCTGTATCCTGTGCTGCCCTCTTGTCTCACCCTGTGACTTAGAATGCCTTCACTGCCTGGAAATGCCGCCCAGTAAGTCTCAGCCTCCTTTTACCCAGCTCCTATTCAAGATGGAGCTGCTGTGGTTCACACACCTCTGGCAGCTGGGCTCCTCGGGATCCCCTGAGGTTCTGTCCCCTCTGTCCACAGTTCCTGGGTCCCTCCACCATCGCTGTCCTCCTGAGCCTCCTCCCTCTGAATTTCTTCACTACCAAGAAGAGGAATCGCTGTCAGGTTCGGCTGTTGGGAAAGAGACGGACGAGGCAGGAAGTAATGAGGAAGACACAGGCCCTGGTGTGGGCTATGGGGAGGGGAGAGCTGAGTGGGAGTCGGTGGGTCTGGCTTTGTTCTTGTCTCTGTGAGTTGCCCATTATGCAGACCTGCCCACTCCTTCCCCATCGCAGTGGACAGAGGCTCCTCCCTCCAGTGTTCAGGCCCCAGGCCCTGGGTCAGATCAATGCCTTTTTCTCCCGCACCCTATCAGTCAGCAAATTTGCTTGGTGTCATCTTGAAAATGCATCCAGCAGCAAGGCCCTGGCTCACTCCCTACTTCTGCCCCAGCCTCTCTCCACTTCCAGCCACAGGAGACCTGTGTGAGCTGAATCCATTGCAACCTCCTCTGCTCAGACCCACAGCAGCCCCATTTTCCTCGGTCTGAGCCAAAGGCCCCACAGAGGCCCACCAGGCCCACCCTGAGCTGCCTCATTGCCTCCAGCCTCACCTTCCACCCGTCTCCCTCCCTTTCCCACCTACCCACCTTCCCCATCCTCACACCTGCCTGATGTTCACACATCTCTCCAGGCATCTGCTTTAGCTGTTCCCTCCGCCTGGACCACCCTCACTCCAGAAGACCCTTGTTCCCTCCAGCACCCCCTGCAGTCAGGACCGCCTCCCTCACCACTGTCCAGCAAGGACACAGCCCGCCCATCCTGGGCATCTGAGGCCAGGGGCTGGGCACCGTGTGGACCTCTGGCCTCCTCTTCGTGTCACTGGTGTCCTTCCAAGTGTCTACCTTTCTGGTGATGTCACTCTAGTCTCTGTGCCGAGCAGGACTGGGGAAGGAGTGTGGGGGTCAGGGGGTGAGGTAGGTGGAGTCTCCCAGGTCTTACCACCCTGTCCATCAAAACCCACACATTCTGGATCCTGTTCTCTCGGGGTTCCTGCTGTCTTCTCCATGAACAAATTAATCACATCATTCTGGTGAAGGTGGCAGCGGCTGCTGAGGTTTGCTGTTCTGAGAGTTCCAGGCTCCTACTGATGTGGGGAGGAGGGTTCATGTGCAGGTGGGCTGCAGAGGTAGAATCCAAGGTCTGAGTGGCTTTCCTGCTGCTGGCCAGCAGATGTCCACAGCCACCCTGTCACTGACATGATCCTTCCTGCCATTCTGTCATTTATTTCCGATGGCTGTCAGAACACTCTTCCTAAAGCACAGTTTTCAGAAGAATTTGAACATGTTGATGCATAGACCAGGCACAGTGACTCACCTGTCATCCCAGCTCTTTGGGAGGCTGAGGTGACTTGAACCCAGGTGGTGGGGACTGCAGTGAACCGAGATTGTGGCACTTCACTCCAGCCTGGGTGACAGAGCAAGTCTTTGTCTCAAAAACAAAACTAAACTAAACAAAAGGACCAGAAATGGGACCAACACCTAGAGCCCTCCCGGGCTGCTCTCCCCAGGCCCAGCCCTCATGTCTGTCATCTTCACAGAGAGGCCTTTCCTGACCACCTTCACCACCACCACAGCACCCCTGCTCGTGCTAATGTGCTCTACACCTGCGCCTGATTTCTCTTTACTTTTATATTTTTGAAGACAGAGTCTTGCTCTGTTCCCCAGGCTGGAGTGCAGTGACGCAATGTCAGCTCACTGCAACCTCCACCTCCCAAGTTCAAGCAATCCTCCTACCTCAGCCTCCTGAGTAGCTAGGATGACAGGCAGGTGCCACCACGCCTGGGGTTTTTTTTTTTTTTTTTTTTTTTTTTTTTTTTTTTTTTTTTTTTTTTTTTTTTTTTTTTTTTTTTGTACTTTTAGTAGAGATGGCATTTCACCATGTTGGCCAGGCTGGTCTTGAACTCCTAACCTCAAGGGATCCATCCACCTCAGCCTCCCAAAGTGCTGGGATTACAGGTGTGGGATTACAGTATTTATTCTTCATAGCGCTTTCCACCTGATATGCTGTCTGTGCTAATGATTTGTTTATGGATCGCCTGTCTCTTTCCCCCTCATTAGAATGATGGATCCATTAAGAGAGCAGGAACTTTGTTTTGCTCATTGCTGTTTCCCCAGAGCCTGGAACCCCACCGGATATATGATAACCAGGCAGTAGTAATTAGTGGAATGAATGAATGTAAGAATGAATGAATGGCTGGTGCTGTGGCTCATGCCTGTAATCCCAGCCCTTTGAGAGGCAGAGGTGGGCGGATTGCTTGAGGTCAGAAGTTTGAGACTTGCCTGGAGAACCTGGTGAAAACCCATCTGTACTAAAAATACAAAAGTTAGCTAGGAATGGTGGTGTACGCCTGTCATCCCAGCAACCCAGCTACTTGGGAGGCTGAGGCAGAAGAATTGCCTGCACCCAGGAGGTGGAGGTTGCAGTGAGTCGAGATTGCACCACTGCACTCTAGCCTGGCAGAAAGAGAGAGACTGTCTCAGAAATAAATAAAAATAATTTTTAAAGAGTGAATGAAAGACAAGAAGGCCTAGATAGAAGGAGTAAGTTACAATAATCAATAGTGCACAAGGGAAATTACAGTGAATGAGAATTTATTTGAATATTTCAAGATAGCTAGAAGAGAAGGATTTTTGTGTTCCCAAAATAAAAGATAAATATTTGAGGTGATGACTGTCTCAGTTACGCTGATTTGATCGTTACATATTGTCTACAGCTGGGGTCCCCAACCCTCCTGGCCACAGATCAGTACCAGTCTGTAGCTTGCTTCTGTTTTTGTTTTTGTGTTTTTTTGAGACAGAGTCTCCACTCTGTGCAGTGCTGTGATCTCGGGTCAATGTAACCTCCACCTCCGAGGTTCAAGAAATTCTCCTGCCTCAGCCTCCTGAGTATCTGGGATTACAGGCATCTACCAGCACACTTGGCTAATTTTTGTATTTTTAGTAGAGACAGGGTTTCACCATGTTGGCCAGGCTGGTCCCGAACTCCTTACTTCGGGTGATTCACCCTTCTCATTCTCCCAAAGTGCTGGGATTACAAGTGTGAGCCATCACACTCGGCATTTTTTATTTTTATTTTTTATTTTTTTGACACGGAGTTTCGCTCTTGTTGCCCAGGCTGGAATGCAATGGCGTGATCTTGGCTCACTGCAACCTCCGTCTCCCGGATTCAAGTGACTTTCCTGCCTCAG